ATATGAAAGTTATCTGTACCCCCATGTTTACTGCAGTTCAATTCATAATAGCTAAGCTATGGAATCAACCCAAATGTCCATCAACCAATGACTGAATAACTAAAATGTGCTATATATACACTCAGCTGTAAAAAAGAATGAAATCCTATCTTTTGCAACAAAATGGATGCAAGTGGAAACCATAATACTTAGTGAAGTAAGCCAGTCCCAAAAAGATAAATATCATGTTTTCTCTGATATGTGGTAACTAAGTACAAAAAGATGTAATACATATGAAAGAAATTGACATCTTGAGATTTGATCATTATAGCCCTTATCTATACTGTTGAAGAACAGTGTTTTTTGATTTTTTCCCCCTCTTACTATTTGTTGAATTTTTTACTGAGTGGAGGGCTAGGTTTATGATTATCAGTAAGCTGAACAGATGCCATTGTAAAAATTAAAAGAAAGAATAAAAAAGGAAGGAGAAGGGAGGGTTAGAGCGCTCCTAGATCTATCTATCTATCTATCTATGAAATACATGAAATTTGTTTATCTTATATAAATAAAGTTATTTTTTAAAAAGAATAAAAAACAAGTAGTGACCATTCATCCATCCATCTAACCAGTCATCCTTTATTTAACACAGGACAGTTTGTGTAGGTGCAGATGCTGAGCAGCTCACAGTCTCTTCAACACTTGATAGATCACCCAAGAGATATCAAGAAATTATGGATGGAAATGCTTCTCCTTGATTCCCACCGCTAATTGCAGCTAGCTACTGCAGAGAAATATTTCCTGATTTTGACAAGTCACTGCACCATTAAAAGTACAATTTCTGCAGTCTTTTTTATAAGCTTCATTACTTCCTACCAGTCTGTTACTTTACAAGTGGTATTTTACTTTGTTGAATAATTTCAGATAGATATGTAAGTGGGTGAACATGGTGGCTTCAATGAGGCTGACAGCAGTGGAGATGAAGGGACTTGGTTGCAGATATACTAAGAATTCTGTTTTTATATATATAATTGATGGAATCATTAAAAAATTAGATTATTTTTGATTTGTATGAGTGGTTTTTTTAAAAAAATATTTATTTATTTTCATCTTATTTGAAAAGGAAAAAGAGATATCTCCAAACCACTGCTTCACTGCCTAAATGTCCTCAACATTAGCAGGAAGCCAGAATTAGAAGCAGAGACAGGACTAAATCCCTAGCACTCCAGTATGGGACATGAGTGTCCCATGCTGCATTTTTTTTTTTTTGACAGGCAGAGTGGACAGTGAGAGAGAGAGACAGAGAGAAAGGTCTTCCTTTTTCCATTGGTTCACTCCCCAATGGCCGCTGCGGCCAGCACACTGCGGCTGGCCCACCACGCTGATCCGAAGCCAAAAGCAGGTGCTTCTTCTGGTCTCCCATGTGGGTTCAGGGCCCAAGGACTTGGGCCATCCTCCACTGCACTCCCAGGCCATAGCAGAGAGCTGGACTGGAAGAGGAGCAACCGGGACAGAATCCAGTGCCCCGACCGGGACTAGAACCCTGTGTGCTGACGCCGCAGGCGGAAGATTAGCCTAGTGAGCCGCAGCGCCGGCCCCATGCTGCATCTTAACCACTACACCAAACACCTGCCACAAATGGATGCCATTCCTTGAAATGAAGAAGAGAATGTTGGGATGGAGAAATTAGAAGTAAATATTCCTCCATTTCCTTTATGACAATCTTGAGGTGTTAACCAAATAGGCAGTCTAGAGCTGAGAAGTAAGGTCAGGACTACATATATATACTTTGGGATTGTCTATATATTGATGTTATATAAAGCCTGGGAAATAGGAAAGATCACCTTAGGAGAGAGTTCATAGTGAAGGGAAGGAAGGAGAGAGCAGCAACAGGAAATGAATGAAAGGAAAGTGTTTGTGAGTAGGATATAATGCTCTTGGGGCCGGCACTGTGACATAGGGGGTGCCAGCATCCCATATGGGCACCGATTTGAGTCCTGGTGCTCCACTTCTGATATAGCTCTCTGCTGTGGCCTGGGAAAGCAGTGGAAGATGGCCCAAGTCCTTGGGTACCTGCACTCACATGGGAGACCCAGAAGAAGCTCCTGGCTCCTGGCTTCAGATCAGCACAGCTCTGGCCATTCTGGTCAATTGGGGAGTGAACCAGTAGATGAAAGACCTCTCTCCCTCTGCCACTCCTTCTCTGTTTGTAACTCTGACTTTCATATAAATAAATAAATCTTAAAAAATATAATGCACTTTAGATATGGTGAAGATCTTTATTCTTATGTAGTCTTTTTGATCACTCAGAACCTGGAAATAAGCATTCAAATAAATAAATAAAGTAAAATAATTAATGACACTGTAACTATATATCATATTGATCTAAACTCTGTCTTTCAACATACAGCAGAACAATCAGATTATTCATTAATAGAAAAACATTTAAATATATGTTTTATACATGTGCAGTGTTAGATTTGTAAGAGTGCCTTTAACATACTCTGTTGTATGTACTAATGGTCCATGAATGCATTTCTCAGGAAATTTAAGTAATTTAACATTCAGTGTTTCATGGATTATAAACCACTTAGTGTTTAATTTCATTTCTACATGAAGTGCAGATACTAGGCTGCACCTGGAAGGTTATGGGGTGATTTTGAGATATGGATGCTGGACCGCTGCAGATGTCAATTCCTTAGGCCCTGTCATATACACGTAAGCTAATTTCTGACTTCCTACCTAACAGGATGGTGATCTAAATTTGGCTACTACACAGTAATTCATCCTTCTGTGTTCTAGCAATCATCTTCGTTAATTACATTTTTCTCCTTCCTTCTAACAGGAATTGCAGCACACAAATTCTTTCCATTAATCTTCTTTACCTGTCTAGGCCTATCACCATTGGACCTTCCTCAGTTTGAATAATTCATCATCATTTTCCTTGCCTACATTTTCTTTGACTGCTCCAGTGTTTGCTTTTTCAATTCATCCTTCCCCTGGCTCTCACATAATTTTGTACTAGTTCTCCTACATCTACTTCTACCCTATTCCAAACTACCTGCGTCTCATGCCTGTGTTATTGCAACAACCTCCTCCTAATCAGTTTTTACTTTTCATTTCTGTGAAAAATTGATCATATAGTCCACTTGTTTAAAATCCACCAAAGGCATCTCATTTGAATTATAACAGCATCTAGCCTCCTGTGGCCCACAAACACCTTCATGATCTGGCCTTTGACAATGTCTATGACCCCATTTTCTTCAACTTTCCCCAGGATCAGAATCACAAGCCATACTGGCTTTCTTTTCAAAACACAACCCAGGAAATTCATTGCCATCTTAAAGCCTTTGCTTGAAATGCTTTTCACATGTTCTTTCAAGTGAATTCTTTTTGCTCATCAATCACAATGACCCTTTCAAGAGGTCTTCTCTTTCTTTCTCCCTTGGCACTCTCCATCTTAATTCTACTTGGTTAATTCCCAAATGTTCTTGGACAATAATGAGCTCTGAACTCAGTCTTCTAGGTTTTTTTTCTTTGATAATATCTTCCATCCACTAGTTCTCTCCCCAAAAGGCCACAAATGCCAAAGCAGGGCCAATCCAAAGCCAGGAGCTTCTTCCAAGTCTCACACATAGGTGCAGGGGCCCAAGTACTCTAGGCCATCTTCCACTGCTTTCCAGGCACATTAGCAGGGAGCTGGATTGGAAGTGGAGCAGCAGGAACTCAAACTGGTGCCCATTTGAGATGCTGGCACACAATAGGTGGCAACTTTACCCACGGCACCACAGCTCCAGCCTCAGTCTGCCAGGTTTTACATAGTGACTTCACGTACTAGATGATGACCTCGGACAGATTATTGAGTCTCTATTTCTTCTGTGAAACAGCACAATAAAACTTCAGAGTGTTGTTATAAAAAATAAGTGATTTAAACATAAAATTCATGGACAATGCCTAGCTAGTCATCATTATTGTAGATGTAATATAATCAAAACCAAATGTCTCTCTTTAAGTGCCAGTCTGTTTAGTCCATCCATTTCTGCAACCACAACATCTAGAACAGGTGGGTAATCAGTGTTAGGTCCTCAATAAATATGTGGTCCACAGTTACTTTTTTAGTAACCATAAAAAAGTGGTTCTGATTAAAGAAATGCAAATTCCAAATCTTGCAAAATAACATGCTTGGGGGACAGGGGGAGTTACTCTGGCATTCTGTCTTTGGCTCCTAAATGCCGAACAATCTGCCTGCGAACAGCACATTGCAGTTGGTGAGGTTTGGATATATGGGAAGTTTCAAGTCTGAGAAAGGATGATCAGCATAAAACAAACCACAAGGAAATCTCCATCCTTGATGTGAGTATTAGGGACAGAAACACCAGATCCAGTTAGAAATGTGAGTACTAATGTTAGCTGGGCCCAAACTAGACAGCAGGCCCTTGGCAGTAACCCAGTGATGTAGAGAGAACCAACTCAGGCATCTTCATGTGGTGCAGATGGGTTTGACCCTTTCTGTTGGTCAGGGTTGGATGAAAATGGGATAAAATATGTCCGGCAAGTGGGGAGCAGTAGATCACTTAGTTCTACTAAAAAAGTCAGTGGGGGAAAATGTAGAGGCAGACTGCAGTTAGTCTTTTTAAATACTGTTCCTGTAAATTGAGTATTTCAGATTTGGATAAAATTGACACAAGATGCCATTTTTACTTCAGTGCCAAGATCTTCATATTAAGATCATGCATCATATATTAAATGTTACTAGATAGTAACAAAAAATTTTGTATTGGTTGACTATATTCTTTTTAGGTTATGAAGTGGAAAGCATTGAGGCCTCTTGCTTTCTAATGCTTGCCTCAAATAAATGATCTTATCTCAGAGTTAGTGGACATGCTCACAAGGACACTGAATCTATCTTTCCACATTACAAGTTATGTGTACACTGTTCACTGTTTGTAAACCATAACAAATCATTAGGCTGTGCTTGACTTTTGGTAGGCTTTTTTCCCCCTCTTCAGCTGTGGCATCTGTTCAGAGTGTCAGAGTACAAATTTAGAAATTTATATATAGCCAGCATGTCATCTTTCACCAACTGATTTGCTTTGCAGTTTTCCAGTAAAGCTACATTTCTCGGAGGATTTCATCAAGTAAAATACATAGAGGTATGAGCTAGTCCTTCTGAAAGACTTAGCATTTAAACAAAATACAAAACTGGGTTATGTAATGACTTTACTGATAGTTGTATTACATAAGACATTGCATGTTATGAAAACTTAGCGACTTCTCAGGTGAAATTATTCTTTACTCTTTGTGATAATGCATTGTAACATGTTTTCATAAACTGAAAAGGTTATACTATTGATTTTTAAGTTTTTTTAAATTGTAAATTATTAAAAGATTTATCATCAGTTCTTGATTCTAGCTTACATAATTCATAGTTACTTTTATATACTTTACTAATGAAAAATCTTGATTCATTAAATCAGATATATGAATTGCTGTATCTAATTTTAGAAAAACTCTGTCTTTTTAATGAACTGAGCAAATTTGATAGAATTAACAATTGTTATTTGAATATTCTGATTAATGAGGCTCTTAGAGCTAAGACTTTATGAAATTTTATTTGAAATTTATTGAGTAGTTTTTCATAGATTATTGTAATTATATTGATTACTCCCAGTGATTTTTCAACTCACTCTTTTAAAACAGAAAGTTTTTGAGGCCAGTGTTATGGTTCATTAGGGTAAACTGTTGCTTATGACATCAGTATTCATAACAGAGCCTGGTGCAAACCCCAGCTACCTGCTTCCAATCCAGCTCCCTACTAATGCGCTGTGATGGCAGCGGGAGATGGACCAAATGCTTCAGTCTGTGCACCCTTGTGGGAGTCTCCAATGTAGTTCCTAACTTCAGTCTAGCCCAACTCTTGCTACTTCAGCAGTTTAGGAAATAAAACCATAGATAAAGAGTGTGTGTCTCATGACTCTCAAATAAATAAATAAATATTTTGAAAAATCAATTTAGTCAAAATAATTCTGCAGCTGTAAAGCCTTCAGAAAAAGTAGTTGAAGGTAACACATTTGTAAATGACTTTCTGTCCTATATTTCCATATCCTTCCTCCAGTACTTAATTTACTCCTCCAAATAATACTTTGTTCTGTAATGGGCATCAAAGCATTATCACATCATTAATTAATCATTGTAAATATCCCAAAAGAAGTCTTATTGACTCACAAACTTAGTATAAAACACTCTTATTCTTCAGGATGTCAAACTTGGAACAATTTGACCCTGATTTTTACCAATCTAATTATACCATTGATAACCAGGAGCAGAGCTCTAATGATTCTGAGACCTATGGATTCAGAAAGTAAGTATTCAGAAAGTAAGTATTGCGATAATAAGCTTTCATTTTAAGGAATCTTAATCTAATTGTAAGGATTTCCAAGGAGGGAGGGTTCCTAAGTAGAAGTCAAAGTTTTCTTCCACATATCTTGGTAAAACACTTCAGAATAAATGTCAGGAAAGGGCACAGAAATGAATTCAGTTCTCCGTGATTTCCCTTGATCATGTCAGGACCAAGCCAGGTGTATGTCTTGTCTACTGTTTCCAAAATAGCACTTAACAAGGAGCCTAAATTCAGGCACTCTGTGAACAGGAAACATTCTTCTCTTACCTAACATTTTTAAGGGCACTGCTTGAGAAATAGATTATATGTATTTAATAACATTTATTTAGTGTCTGCTTGTGTGTCAGAAATTAAGGACACTACAGACTCAGAGATAAGGACACCACAAACTCACCAGAAACTCAGAGGTTATATCCATAGTTGGTTTCTTTATAAAATTAAGATTTTGTGTTGAAGGAGTTGAACAATTAATTATGCAATTATAGTGTGAGAAGTACATGAAAGAAGGAACATTAGTATATTTTAAAATGTATTACTTATTTAAGTTGAAATTCCAACTTGAGTTATGGAATTTAGAGTGACAAGAATTTGGTTCAAGTTCTGACTCCAGTGTTTGCTGTCTTTGTGACACTGAGAAGACTTAACTTTTCTGTCTTGATTTGTGGAATAAGGACAATGATAATACTTTACAAAGTTGTCATGAAAAATGATTCTTCTAATGTGTAGGAAAGTATATATTAAACATATATCACTACAGAAATATTATTTACTCATGTAAACATTAGTAGAAAAGCAATTAATACTTTGTTACCTAAAATAACTTAAACTTTATTTGGTTCTAGAGTTGGTTTTGTGATGTTACTTTCTTCTGTGGGTCTAGGTTAATGGACTTGGAGAAAGGTCAGATTCTTCAACTTTCACAGTGTTTATTGGCAGTTACTATATGTCTGGAGCCATTCTGAGCTTTAAGAGTATATAAATCAACTCAATGCATCTTCAAACAACCCTATGAAGCAGGTACAATGTTATCTCTGCTTTGCACTTGAGACATCAGACACACGTGGAAATTAAGGAACTTTCTCAAGTCACACATTTAGTTAAGAAAAGAGGTTACAATTTTAGCCCAAAGCTGATTAGGCCCACAACTAGGGTGAGCATGTGGTTTATTGTAAATAAAGATATTTATTAGCATAAAATACTGTTATTAATAATGTCACTGAGACAACAGGAATAAACTGGACCATTTCAGAATTTACCACCCTGTAAGTCTAGGCCAAAACACCTCATAATAAATATTTCAAATACATTAATTCTTAAAGTTTTTTTTTCTTAAACGCAAAAATGTACCTTAACATCTCCAAATGGAAAGGGGAATGACAGAATAAATGCAACAGACAATTGGTAGGTCTTCTGTTCCAACTCTTTACAGGAAAATTGACCATTGTTCCCACTGACTGATCACTCCTACAAATACAAGTGAATATATGCTGTTCTCACAAGCTTCTTCCTGGATGCTGTTTCTAAATTACATCTCAAAAGACTAGAGAAAGGTATTGGTGTTTAATGTTTTTAAAATTGGAAAGTTAAATATCTGGAATTTGATGTCATTCACATTCCAATTCTATCTTGTTTAAATCAGTCAATCTACCTTTTATGATTACACTTCTGAATAAGAGAAGAAAAGAAATAGAAAGTATTTGAAGCAAAGGAATAATTTGAGCATTAACATGTTACAAGATGGTCCCTCAAAATATACAGTCTACAGTGAACGCTATCTAATAGGCCATTTCAGCCCTGTACTCCTGTTTGATAGAAAGGAACCAATTTGCCCTGAACGTCCCATTCCTTTTCTCCACTTATTTTTCTAGATTGAATGGGCATTTGAGTAGCATATATGTTTGTAGGCTGAAGTAAACTAAAAAGTCCAACAAGAGAAGTATGAAGCTTTTTCCTTAGGCAATGGCTCATGGAACACAGTTTTCTTCCCCCATTCCCAAACCCCAGGTTTTTTTTTTTTTTGGTCTATTTGATTTCATTTCCTAGGAATCAAGATGATAAAAAATGGAAATTAGTATAAACAAATGAGGAAATTCATGATTATAATGCATCAGGTTAATGGCCTTGCCTGTTTCAGATGGTTAGCATTCAAGTCCAAGTCCTGATTTGGATGAGGTAACATTTAAATTCTAATCCACATTGCAAATCTCAGGAATTAGGGAAGAGCATCTAAGCTGGACTAGTTTTAAGAAGTACATTAAACATGGAGTCAGGTCAGTAATTTACTGATATACATGAAAGGAACTTTAAAAAATTGTAGTTTATTCATATCATGAATAGTTCAATAAAATATACTTAAACTCAGCGTACAATTTGCTGATCCCCATGGCAAAGATATAGGAATCCAGAGGACAGTTATGAACAATCAATCAATTGCTATGTCTCTCTCTCTCTCTGTCTGTCTCATATACACACATAGACACACACCCCTTTTCTTTCTATCCTAAACCTTTCTCCCACAGTATATGGGAGACTGTTTTAAACAGCCTATTTGGATCAATGATAAACTGACCAGAAACCTGGTTGCCCATGCTTACTAGGATGATGAAGATATTTGCATTTAAACAAAAGGCTTCTAATTTTGGAATGAACAAAGAGGAACTTTCTCATTTAAAAAAAGTAACTATTCAGTACTTCATTTAGGAGTGATTTCCAAAGACCTATAGCTAGACTGTATTTATATATTAGATTTTCCAGTTTTTTTTTTTTTTTTAAATGAGGGAACTACTCATATTACCTGGAAAAAGGAGAAAGAAAGAAATATTGCTGCTGAAAGGTGACAGCAACCAGCAAATTCCTTTTGAACGCTTTGAAAGAATTTTAACAGCCAGCATGGAATCATCATCATTTCTGAATCCCTAGACCCCTGGTATAAACCAACCCTGGTATTTCAAACAGTTAATGGCATCATTGGGCACCCAGTTGGACCAAGTTGGACCCATAAATTTTGTATAAGTCAACCACCTTGGCCACCATCCCCTAACCCAAATACCATTGAATTGATTCCATACAATACAGTCTTGCAAAGGGCACTTAAGATGACTGGTTTTACTGTCTTAAGATCAACATAGATAAAATTTTTCCGGGAGTCCAGACTAAACATTTTTCTTTTTAGCCAACTGGGCATTTTGTTGTTTTTTGTTTTATTTTGTTTCAGGTGATGTGTTGTAAATCCTGAAAACTTTTGTAGCCTAATGTTTCTGGAGAGGCATAAGGTTTCCTGATTAAAAAAAAAAAAATGTACAAGGGATGGTGCTGTGGCATAGTGGATAACGCCACTGCATGTGATGCCAGCATCCCATAAGGGCGCTGGTTCTTGTGTCCCTGCTGCTCCACTTCCCATCCAGCTCCTGCTAATGTGCCTGGAAAAGCAGCATAATACAGTCCAAGTGCTTGGGCCCCTGCCACTCACATGGGAGACCTGGAAGGAGCACCTGGCTTTGGCCTAATTCAACCCCAGCTATTGTGGCCATCCAGGGAGTGATCCACTAGATCTCTTTGTCTCTCTCTCTCTCTCTCTTTCTCTGTAACTCTTTTTTTTTTTTTTTTTTTTGTGGTGGATGCCTACACATTTTTTTTTAATTTAATGAACATAAATTTCCAAATTACAGCTTATGGATTACAATAGCTTCCCCCCGCCTATAACTTCCCTCCTACCCACAAAGCTTCCCTCTCCCACTTCCTCTCCCTTTCCCTTCACATCAAGATTAATTTTCAATTATCTTTATATACAGAAGATCAATTTTGCATATATTAAGTAAAGATTTCCACATTTTGCACCCACACTGAAACACAAAGTGTAAAATACTATTTGAGTACTAGTTATAGCATTAATTAAACACCTAAGAGTAATTGTGTATTAATTACAGAGTTCAACCAATAGTTTTAAGTAAAACATAAAATGCAGCTTTTGTATTGTTGTGGCTCCCCCCGCCCCAACCTCCCTCCCTCCCATGGCCCTCCCCTCTCCCACTCCCTCTCCCATCCCGCCCTTCATCACGTTTCATTTTGAATTACCTTCATATACTGAGGATCAACTTAGTATATACTAAGCAGGGATTTCAACAGGCTGCACTCACACAACTGAACCAGGCAGGTATAGGGTATTGTTCGACTAGTAGTGTTGTTTTTAAGTTTCATAGTTAAACACATTAAGGACAGAGATCCTATGTGGGGACCATGTACCCAGTGACTCCTGTTGTTGATTTAACAATTGGCACTCTTATTTATGATGTCAGCAGTCACCTGAGACTCTTGCTATGAGCTGTCTAGGCTATGGAAGCCCCTTGAGTTCACCGACTCTGAGCTTGTTTAGCAAGGCCGTATCACAGTGGAGGTTCCTTCCTCCCTTCAGAGAAAGGCGCCTCTTTCCTTGATGGCCTGTTCCTTCTGCTGGGGTCTTGTTCACCAGGATCCTTCATTTAGATTGGTTTTTGCCACCGTGTCATGGCTTTCCATGCCTGTGAGACTCTCATGGACCTTTTAGTCAGATCCAAATCTTTGTAACTCTTTCAAATAAATAAATCTTAAAAAAATGTGCCCACATTTGAATATGAGTTCAAATGTGGAGACAGACTTACTATGAATTGTACTTATATTATGGTATGTACCTCACCACCTGAACTGCAGTCCATACAATACTCTCAATACTATACTGGAAGTGAATTTCCTGCCTGTGTTCTCCCAGTGTCAGACTACAAAAGGAAAGCAGCACCACTTGATGAAAGTCTAAACCTATAGCTTTTTAAAAAATCAAACTCTAATAGAACATGTACTAATGATTATATGATTGGGTACAGAATGGACTATATATGTCCAACTATAGAAATTATCATAAGTATTCTGATTTTCTATATTTTCATTACCATTTAAATATTAAGTTATACTGACTCAGAAACCTGTAACAAATTTCCCCAGACTATGACTTATCTCAACATAATAGCATGTAAGTAAAGACAAGCCTCTGGAGGCTAGTTGGAACTTTATTACCCAGGTATGGAGGGTGAAAGGGTAATATTGAAGAATCAGTGAACACACACAGTAGTTTTTACATGAATCATGTGTGTGGCCATCGCTTAGGGACAGCAATCCTGGCATGGGTATAGTGGAGATTGAGGACTGCTAAGATATTGCAGAAATCAACTTAAGCATTCAAGACAAACAGAAAAAATCTAAATATAGTCAACACAGAAGGCACAAATTCTTAGTTTCCCATTGATGTTCATTTTCTTTCAGTAAGAGACAGTGTGGGAGATGACTATTATAAACACAGAAGATGCATTTCTTAGATGTAAAGAATATGTTTAGAATGCATGACTATTAAGTCTCACGAAGTGGCAAGTATGCAATACTTAGCTAAATGTGTCTTGATCACTTCTCATGGTGCTATTCTAAGTCCTTATTTTATGCAATTCACAACAACCTTGTGAGTTACAGTATTAGCTTCATTTTACAAAAGAGAAAACGGTGGCACAGGACATGAGGGAATGTGCCTGAGATAACATATCAGGGATTTGAACAGGGATTTGATTCCAAAGGTCATGTTGTAATAGGATAAATCCTACCACTGGACAGACACTCAAGGCCGAGATGTACATATACAGTGTTGGGGCATGAAGAAAGGGAAATATGATCAAGAATGCTGCTGACTCTTCTGCATTTGATTTTAGCCAAAAGGCCAAGAAGTGATTTGCTGACTGTTCTAAAGGAATCTTTTTAGTCACCTCACAGTTCCTTAACATTATTTTTACAGAAATAGGAAGCATTTACTGACAAAGCTAATCTTTATATGCCACCTTCCAGAGTTTAGTACTTTTAGGCCTAATTCAGTTGACCATCTATTTAATATGGAATAATTTTCCAAATTATAGATTATTACATTTTAGTATTTTCTTCTTCATAGAACTAATTAAGATGCTTTATGATTCAAGACAAAGGAATATTTTTGGTATACTCCACAAAACTCCCATGACTGTGTGGAGTATAGATATAATTTTAACATCTTAAATATTGAGTATATTAATCTGCCTCAGTAATTGCACTAATAGGTTAAGTATTCAGGGCTAAGGCTCAATAGAGTAAGTAGTAAAATGCCCAGTCCCTTACCCCTGAATTTTGTTTTTAGTGAATATATAGTGTATTGCATAGAAGGTGTTACTAAGACTGTAGGTAAACTTATTACATAGCCAGAGTTGGCTTCGTATGGTAAAAAACGAGAAGAAAAGACATGCTATTAAGTGTAGATTCACAATATGAGAAGCTAGGTGGGAAAATGTATAAAACATGAGAACTGGGTTATTTATAGTGTTCTGTGTGGGACTGTGGGCTATCAGTATGATTATTTTAATACTGCTTGGATTTTGTTCATTGAAATATAACATTAAACATAGTCAGGTATACAGTTATAAGATAAAGAACTTTAATCTGGACAGTTATCAAAGATGAACATGTTAGTTTTTACAAAGAATTTTGAAGTTTCTTTGATATTTTAAATTTTAACTTTTTTTTTGGTTGGGTGTTGTGGCATAACAGGTTAAGCTACCACTTGGGATGCCCATTTCCTAAACTGGAGTGCCTGGGATGGAGCCCACCTCTGCTTCCCATCCAGCTTCCTGCTAATGTGCCTGCTTGGCCCAGCTGTGGCATTATGGATATTTGGGGATTGAATAAGTGGATGAAAGATCTTTCTCTCTTTTTCTGTCTCTCTCTCTCTTTGTGTGTGTGTGTGTGTGTGTGTGTTTCACTTTGCCTTTCAACTAAATAAATCTTAGAAATTTACTTCCTAAAGGGGAGAGGGAGTGGGAAAGGTGAGGGTTGCAGGTGGGAGGGACATTATGGCGGGGAAGCCATTGTAATCCATAAGCTGTACTTTGGAAATTTATATGCATTAAATAAAAGTTTAAAAAAATAAAAAAAAAGAAATTTACTTCCTAAAATAAGTAGTAGGAGAATTTTAATGTTGCACTCCATTACAATAAGAACAAACTACTGATGGAGCAGTGTTGCTGGATGGAGGAGTAGAAGAGGGATGGAGATAACAGCTAAGTACCTAAAGATAATTCAGTCAGCAATATTTGTGAATGGCCAGAACTACAAAGTGTATTTCTTGGTGGATGCTCATTGGTTTACAGATTTGTATTATTTTCCTGTGAGTTGACTATGCTATTACAATTATAATCTTTGCCTGTGGGTTCTACAGATTCTGTAGGGGCATCGTGTTGGTGATTGACCCTGAAGATAAGTGACAAAGGAGCACTGTGCAGGGTGCAGGTCATTGCTGAGCAAACTTCAATTCAAATTCCAGCACCTGCAGTGTTATTTTTTGTACTGGGCACATAATTGAGACAGTATTTCTTTTCCTGTAAAATGGGAATAAAAACACGGTTTTTACCTTATGAGGTTAAACTGAGGAAATATGTGGGGAAGCACATTGTATGTGCTCAATTGTTACTTGTTGATATTGAGCATTTTTCTAGAAGTCTTTTCATGCCCAGTTATTTTACTTTTTTGGACAGAAAACTTTTAAACAAGCTATATCTTCATGGGAAAACAGTCATAAAGATAGATGAATTCATATAAGGAAAATTATAATTTTCTTCCTTGATTTGTTATGATATCCCTTTTACAGATACATAAATATCTGTGTTTTTCTTTTTCTAGCCAACAAGTGAGTGAACAACCTCAGCCTGCCTCGTTTGTTCCCCCTGAGATGCTCATGCCATCAGGTTATGCAGGGCAGTTTTTTCAGCCAGCATCCAACTGCGATTACTATTCACAGTCTCCTTACATCGACAGTTTTGATGAAGAGCCTCCTTTGCTAGAAGGTAAGTTAAGGAAGTATTATTAATGTGTGCACAGCTCAAAGAATAATAGCAATAATTGGGTGTAATGCGTGTTGCCAACTTGCTGTCTGTGTTTTATATATGATTGTTCCACGTATAACAAGTATACTAAACCGAGACTCTTAAACCACTGGAAGTTTCTTGTATGTTGGTGTGGGGGAAGTCGGAAGCACTTGTGTGCCACTGCTGTGACACTGTGGCAGTCATTAAATGTTTCTTCACTAATCTTAAACTGAGATTCTCTTGGCATCTCTAGACAACAGCAAAGACATCTTTTGGCAGAGTGTTTCTCTTAAAACAACCACCCCTTCAACCCCAGTTAATGAAGAACTTCCTAACAGTGTATTTATTTTCTGCTATGTCTGCCCGGGAACAGAGTTCTTCAGGTTAATATTGTGAGTTGTTGACATGGAGATAAGCCAGTTTTTCTCTCCCCTGGCTCATATGATCCCTCTCATCTTGGCATGGCATGACTGGGAGAGGAAGAATAGCATTCTAGGAGATCACACTGCTGGTATGAAGGAGACCTGGGATATCCTTCCTGTTGAGTCTCCTTAGGGGATTTCAGAGATGTTCAGATTATTTTTTTTTTCTGTGTCCAGATACCCCGTATCTGCTGCTTTTCCTCTTAAACAATGTCATCATTAAGCTACAACTATGGGTATTCAAAAACAAAAATGCAAGTCAGTTTAAATTTGAGGACCAAGCAGAAATATTCAGTGTAATTGCTCCAAGTCTTTTATATGTAGTCAAATGAAAAGGAATATGTTGAAATTCCCAGTCTTATATCAGAGACCCTTGTTTGCCTCATATGAACACAACCACTCAAAGTCCAATCATTATTTTTCTTTTGCCTTAAAAATATAAAAAAATGTGAAACCACTAAGGAGAGTAAAGAAAATTTTATAGTAGATATTTTGACTAAATTTTTGGATCAGTTTTGTTTAACCAGTTCATTCTGTATTGCCTATTTAATTAACAAATATTTGAAAGTTGCCAGCTATTTTTGTTAAACCTTTTCCTTGACTCCAACAGCATCTGTGCTTAAAAAAAAAGCACTATCAGTTGTCTACTATTTGTTACAGAGTTTAGAAAATATATAAACCTACAAATAGATACAAAAATAACTTCAAATCTTGTCTCCAAGATAAGACCAACATTAATAATTTAATATATTTCTTTCTAGCTTTATTCTATTCCTATGAATGTGTATATTATGATTATACATACATACATCAAATCAAATACTATTTTTCAACGAATGTATATGTATTTATGAGTAGTTAAAAATGAAAGTTGGATCATACTACAAATATAAAGTTTTTTCTAAAGATAAAAAAAAAGCAATAAGCATCATTTCTGAGAGAGATGATAATTGACATTTGTTAGTTTTTATTAGCACACACAAAAATGGCCTACACAATTATGAAGCTGTAATAAGGATCATTTGTTTCACAAAATCATGTAATAGGGATTATTCCTTTCACAAAATGTGTTTATTTATTCCTTAAGTGCTTTGTAGTCTAAAATTCTTGTTTGGTTTTATGTAAGATTGATAACTTTTGCTATTTGATAATGTGCAATTTTTATGTTAAGTCAGAGCAAGTCTGTCAGACCAGAAAAAAGTTACTTATATTTGTAGCATAATTTGATGTTTATATATAGAAGGCCAATGCCACAATTTGGATAGAAAATAAAGTTCTTAACTCATTTTTATAGCATATGTGTCGTATACTTTACTACCACTAGATGACAGCAAAACAATAAATTTTGCATGCAAATTTCACTGCAGTTTCATCTTTTTTATTTGCATAATAAGGTGTTATATTAGGCTATCTACAATTAGCAAATACTTACAATCTCATTCACATACTTTATAATAAATTTGAATACAAAATACTTCTGTATAAAGCACATAAAATCTTTTGTTCCTATAAAATATTTAGATTTTATGTTCACTATTTCATGACTTAATGTTGAAACATGTGCAGAAGTTAATTAAGCCATCAAACAAATGGGTGAAATCACTAATAGTGTTGCATAAAGAATTTTTCATTGGGGTTTTTTTCAGAAATGATTTTTTTAAGACAAAGGTGTTTGGAATGAAATACTATTTTATTGTGGAAAATATTGAGAATACAATATGATTATGACGTCAAAATTTAAGTCTGGGCCAGCGCCATGGCTCACTTGGCTAATCCTCTGCCTGCAGCGCTGGCACCCTGGGTTAAGTCTTGGTTGGGACTCTGGATTCTGTCCCAGTTGCCCCTCTTCCAGTCCAGCTCTCTGCTGTGGCCTGGGAAGGCAGTGGAGGATGGCTCAAGTGCTTGGTGCAGGAGAAGCACTTGGCTCCGGGCTTCGATTCGGCACAGTGCGCCAGCTGCAGCACACCAGCCGTGGTGGCCATTTTGGGGGTGAACCAACGGAAAAAGGAAGACCTTTTCTCTCTGTCTCTCTCTCTCTCACTGTCTAACTCTGCCTGTCAAAAAAACCTTAAGTCTGAAAATAATATAAGCCTCCAGTGAAATTGATGTAAGTCACATCATTTCTCAATTTTTAAAGTTCCTCTTTTAAAAATTACATTAGATGATCTAACCTCATTATAAGCTTAGTAAACTGAGTACGCTGTCAAATGTGTGCCCAGTAAGACATATTTAAATGCACTTTGTACAATGGATGTTATAGAGAATTTGAAATATAAGTAATTCTCTTACTTTTATTAATTTGATCAAATTCTTTTGAAGCTGAGAATAATACATACCAACCTGAGCATTAATTAAGTAAAAGAATACTCTTTCCCAGTTAAGGAAGTATCTGGTTGACCCTCTGAAATTTCTACATTGTTCAAGAAAGGTCCCTCCATGTCATGTAGATCATTAAAAGTCCACCTTGTATTCTATATATGCAATGGCAGCTTTGTAAGATACTTTAGTGGTACATGCCATTGTAAAAGAAGTTGAACTGACCAAAGAGGGTTGCTAAATCCTGAGAAGGGAAGTTGAATGCCAAACACAAATGAATTTAGGAAGACAGTCCTTCCCATGGGAGAACTGGGCTCAACCAAAAAAACTATAGGGCCTGGAGTTGTGGTGCAGTGGATTTAGCCCCCACCTGCGACAGCAGCATTAGTTGCTGGTTCAAGCAACATCTGCTCCACTTAAATCCAGCTCCTGGCTAATGCACTTGAGAAAAGCAGCAGAAGATGGCCCAAGTGCTCGGGCTCCTCCTCCCACGTGGGAGACCTGGAAGAAGCTCCTGGCCCCTGGCTTTGGCCTAGCCCACCCTGGCCATTGCAACCAATTGGGGAGGAAACCAGCAGATCTCTCCATCCCCCTGTCTTCCCCCATCCCTCCCTCTCCTCTGATAACTGTGACTTTCAAATAAATAAATCTATATAAAAAACTTTATTTAACAAAATAAAAACAACAACAAAACATAATAATGAAATTAGGTGTACATTGACCCCCACCACAATTACAAGGTTAAAAACATGTGGTCTCAAGTCAGATTGTTCAGTGTTGAAACCTATATTTTTATATTATTGGCTCTGTGACTTTGGACATGTTAATCTCTTGAGAACATAGCCATCTAATACATAAAATGGAAATAAAATAATAGTACCATCTTCATTGAATGTCACTAAGATCAGTGGTTGTAAATTTGGTGAGGTCCACGGTAAAACCTCAGTAAAGAGTAGTTCATTTTAGTTGAAATGTATGCACTTACAGCAGGTTAGTGTCTGTTCTTCCTAGCATCTTCTTCATTGTTATTGAATTATTTAAATTGTTGAGGCAAGGTAACTAGTTTGATTGCTGGTTCCTAAATAGTCAAATTGCACTATCTCCCTTAGATGTTGTCCTTTTCTACCATGACAGTTTATCTTTATAGGAATGGCAAGAAAAGAAACTGATGTGATATCAATATTTGTTTCTATGATCAGTGGATGTCATATGGCTCAATGTTTTTCTCTATAAAAATGTTACAAGCGAAGCAGAATCTAGCAAAGGGGTATGGGGGGAGGCAGCCAGAATTCTTTGGAAAGTAAGCATTGGAAAATAATAAAAATTTATAGATGAGGTTGGATTAATAAACACTGACCTATTGATTTTGGATATTTTATTCTGACACTATCACTCAAAAAGGCAAGGTTAACTTGTCTCCAGAACGTAATCTTTGAATACATTGACTTAACCTCATAGTGCATTGACCTTATGAAAAGGTGCTTGCACATCATGATTACTTTTACTTACAGAAAAATCTCTTCTCCTTCCTCCTCTGCAGAGTATCAGGCACTTAGTGCAAAACCACTCTTCTCATTAAGCAAGTAGAAATTAAATCCCAGACCTGAGCTCAATCTCCTTAGTATAGCTAGTACTTCGATTTGAAAACTGATGCCATTCTTGATGTGACCACATTTTAGAAGTGCTAATAAGTGAAAATATAGGAAAAGGAAACATCTCAATGGCAGCATGATGAGACTTCTGATCTGTTAACTTCTATTTTATTTTTTACTACATAGTGTCAACTTCCCAATTTTTAACTAGGTATTTGCAGTATTAATTAGGAAAAATTTTCCTTTTTGAAATTCTTTCTTTAAAATACTTCTTTTAGCTTATTGTTTGGAAACAACTTTTTTAGTTTGTTTTTAGAAGTTTTTTTTTTTTTAATTTATTTTACAGGTAGAGTTATAGACAGTGAGAGAGAGAGAGACAGAGAGAAAGGTTTTCCTTCCATTGGTTCACTCCCCAAATGGCTGCTATGGCCGGCGTTGCACCGATCTGAAGCCAGGAGCCAGGTGTTTCTTCCTGGTCTCCTATGCGAGTGCAGGGGCCCAAGCACTTGGGCCATCCTCCACTGCCTTCCCGGGCCACAGCAGAGAGCTGGACTGGAAGAGGAGCAACCGGGACTAGAACCCAGCACCCATATGGGATGCCGCACCGCAGTTGGAGGATTAACCAAGTAAGCCATGGCGTCGGCCCCAGAAGTTTTAATATATTAGCAATTTAATCGCTTCTCGGCCTTTTGGCTAAGATCAAGTGTAGGAGTTTAGTTTATGAAGTTGTAATAAAACATGAAAATACTAAGTAAATGCATAATATAAGTTAATATTTTATTAAAGAATAAACTCTTTTTTATATTTGTTTAATTATTTTTCTTTTTGCAGAACTTGGAATCAATTTTGATCACATTTGGCAAAAAACCTTGACGGTGTTAAACCCACTGAAGCCAGCAGATGGCAGCATCATGAACGAAACAGACCTCACTGGGCCCATCATTTTTTGCATAGCCCTGGGAGCCACCCTGCTTCTGGTAATGTGTTAACAGCAAATACTCAGTGCTAATGCTTGGCCTTTCCAGTGTCAGACTTGAAGCTGTCTTTGCAAACTCAGAAGAAAGTATGTTGCTTTTTAAGAATATAGAGAAAAATTTTAAGTTTGTGACTCCATCTATTTCAGTGAGACATATTTAATTGAATCATAGGGACAAAAAGAGCTACTATTATGTATTACACCAGATTAAAAAAATTTAAACATAATTGCAAGAGTCAAACCACTAAGTAAAATTTTCAATAAAACTAGGGATCACTTATATGTTTCTTGTTTTTAAGAAGTCTGTCAGAGGCAAGCATTTGGCCTACAGTTAGGATGACAAGAAGGGCGCCTACATCCTCTGTGGTACTTGGGTTGGAACACTGCCTCTTCACTCCCATTTCCCACAGTACACAACAGGGAATATAGCAGGGAAAAGCTCAGGGCATTCAGGTCCCTGCCAACCACATTAGAGATCTGGATTGCAGACATTTGGAGAGTGAAACAGAAGATGGGAGCTCTATCTTTCTCTGCCTCTAAATACATAAAAAGTTAATTAACTATCAAGTGAATACATAAATAAAAAGATTGTCAGACTGGAATATTTGAAGGAAAAAATGGGTTAGGAAAACATGAGACCCACAGGTCATGTCCTGTTTTCTGTTAAATGTTCCTTGTAGCACTAGACACCTGACTTCTCTTTGGTCATCACTGTCTGTGATGAAAGAACTACTTGACAGTATTTCTAACATCTTGTGAGGCATGAATTGGGTCTCCTTGTGTCTGAAGAGGCTACTAAGAATTAAATTTCTTTGCAACAATGATTTATTTACTCAACCTATATTTTTTCTCTTATATTTTTATATTTCTGCTTTTAATGAAGGCTTTCCCCTGATTTTATCAATATGCCTCATGTGTAGGCCCCTTTCATTCTTTATATCTGGAAGTTATAATATCAAGTCACCAAAATGGTAAAGAAAACATATTTCCACCTAAATAAAATTAAGAATGCCTTCTAGCTCATGGTTTAATGCAGCATTTTAATTGTTTTGGAGGAAGAAATGGAAAAAAAAGTCTATGATTTATATACAAGAAGGAGATGACAATGCACTAAAAACAGGATGAGAAAAAGTTCCAGTTGTCCTGAAAAGTACAGTTTCATTAATTACAATGAGATCAACTTGGCAGGATAAATAATGTAGGAAATTACAGATTTTACGAAAAGGTCTTAAAATGCCTATTCAGTCCGTTTTCTCTTCTTTCTCATTAGAACAATTTATTTCAACATAACCACAGTTTTTAAAAAGTAGTTTAAGATGGTATTTGCAACTAAATAAATTTTCACTTTTCTTTTTTTTTTTTTAAACTTTTATTTAATGCATATAAATTTCCAAAGTACGACTTATGGATTACAATGGCTTCCCCCACCATACCATCCCTCCCACCCACAACTCTCCCCTTTCCCACTCCCTCTCCCCTTCCATTCACATCAAGATTCATTTTCGATTATCTTAATATACAGAATATCAGCTTAGTATACATTAAGTATGGATTTCAACAGTTTGCTCCCACACAGAAACATAAAGTGAAAAATAATAGATGATTTTTTTAAATGATGATGAAATCAGAGCAGACCTATTGTCATGTTTAATCCCAGTGAGAGTCAAGTTGGGAATTGATAATTTCTTTTTTTTTTTTTTTTTTAACAGAGGATCAGTTTAGTATGCATTAAGTAAGGATTTCAACAGTTTGCACCCCCATAGAAACACAAAGTGAAATATATTGTTTGAGTACTCGTTATAGCATTAAATCTCAATGTACAGCACATTAAGGATAGAGATCCTACATGAAGAGTAAGTGCACAGTGACTCCTGTTGTTGACTTTACCAATTGACACTCCTGTCTATGGCATCAGTAATCTCCCTATGCTCCAGTCATGAGTTTCCAAGGCTATGGAAGCCCTCTGAGTTCTCTGACTCTTATCTTGTTTAGACAAGGTCATAGTCAAAGTGGAGGTTCTCTCCTCCCTTCAGAGAAAGGTACCTCCTTCTTTGATGACCTGTTCTTTCCACTGGGATCTCACTCGCAGAGATCTTTTGCCAGAGTGTCTTGGCTTTCCATGCCTGAAATACTCTCATGGGCTTTTCAGCCAGCTCCGAATGCCTTTAGGGCTGATTCTGAGGCCAGAGTGCTATTTAGGACATCTGCCATTCTATGAGTCTGCTGAGCATCTCACTTCCCATGTTGGATCACTCTCCCCTTTATTTACTCCATCAGTTAGCGTTAGCAGGTACTAGACTTGTCTATGTGCTCCCTTTGACTCCCAGTCCCTTCACCATGACCAACTGTGAACTGAAACTGATCACCTGGAACAGTGAGATGGCATTGGTACATGCCACCTCGATGGGATTGAATTGGAATCCCCTGGTATGCTTCCAACTCCACCACTTGGGGCAAGTCAGCCTGAGCATGTCCCAAATTATACATCTCTTCCCTCTCCCATTCCCACCACCATGTTCAACAGGGATCACATTTCAGTTAATTTTCAACACTTAAGAATAACTGTGCATCAATTACAGATCTAAACCAGTCATATTAAGTAGAACAGATAAAATAACTACTAAGAGGGATAATGTATTTAGTTGTTCATTAACAGTCAGGGCTATGCTGATCAAGCCACAAAAAAGTAAAAAAAAAATTTTTTTTCACTTTTCATTGATTAATTATGTAACATCAATCAAAATACTGATAGCAATATAGTTTCTGTTTGGTAATATGACCAGTAATAACATCATCTTTATCCAATACAATGGCATCTAATGATAACATTTTTGTCTTTGTTCTACAGCACATACTAATACTCTGTAAATCAAACACAATATCTACTAGAGTTTTAATTTAGTCTTTATCTTCCCTTCTTCTGTCTTTGTCACAGTAATTTGATAATCTTAGATTATGCTGCTAAGTAAGGCCATGTCAATTAATCAAGTAGTCAGAAACAATCAATTTAATATATTAACTCATCTTTCTTTTTCAAATCATTTGTAATACATCAGCTGTTTGGTTTTCCATAGAAAATATTACTGTTACTGTGCCTTAAAAATACATTAATTCCATTAGGATCACTCTTGGATGTGTTAGTTGGAGCCATTGAAATATCCTCTCTGATATTTTAAGTACAAAACAATATAAATAAAGAAGTGAGAAAATTGGATCTTCCCCTAACTCTGCCACCAGCTGGGATCTTGCTTTGGCTTCGTATTTTGATGCCTTAATTTCTTTTTTTTTTTTTTTTCAAAACAAAAAGCATTTCTTTGAGTAGTTCTTAAGCTTTATTTTGGTTCTAAAATTTTGAGAAATAAAAGAAAAATGTATTTTGTGAAGTTTTATATGCAAACATTATCACTTGGATTTTAGCATTAGATGTGGTAACTTCAGAATTCATTCTGATAAATACAACATAATAAAGACCCTCCAAAATCTCCAACTGGATTTTAATTGAAGTAGCATTTAACTCAGAATCCATTTAATATAGGTTAATTCTGCCTTGGATGTTTACAATTAAAATGTAAGTGGTGATTAATGGGCTGGTACAGGCATTTCACTAGAGAAAGTAAAAATTCAGAACCTGTATCTAATCTGTTCATTATCTACAGAGGTGTAAGATTCATAGTCACATAGTCATCATCTTTATGATTTAGGTTGACATAAAACACAATGCATTTTAGTGGACTTTCTTCAGGCTTCAGGAGGCAAATCAGAAAAATCAGGTATAAGCCCTCATCAATTTAGTTTCACTTATTTTTTCCCCAAAATTATTTTCAACCCCAACACCAAGAATATAAGTGGTTTAAAGGTATTACTCCATTTAATTTTTCTGATAGGACTATGCTTATGATCTGAAAAAGCAACATACATAGCAATATAAAAGTATAATCAGAGAAATACTAATTATTTTAAGTCAAGATATGGCCATGAGGGTGGTATAGGGAGGATATTAAAAAATACAAAGATTAACAAAATGAAATATTTGTTTTCTATTTCAATCATAAGCCTTAGTCAAATTTAAAATAATTTCTAAATGGTAGCGATTTCTGCAAATGAAATTGCAACTTAAATTGGACAAATTAACAACAGAAAGATATGAAGAAACAGGTCAATAACTGATGGGGATAAGCATAATTTTACTACAAAATTAGTTTCATGGCTCCCTATTTACTCCACCTCATTCATAAAACTGCCTTTTAGGGCCAGGAAAATCCAGTTATGTGCCCTTTAGGTATAAGTTTCCCTTTACATTACAGTTAGCCCTACCTCAGAATTATCCCATCCAAGTAAAATATTAAGTAGAAAATATGTCTAATACATGAAAGTGTTTGGAAATCGTTGGTATTTTCCAAGTGAAGCAAACCCACCCAATAGAACAATGCATAATGACATCCATGCTCAGCATTATTTCATAAAATGGACATAAGGATGCAAAAGATGAGGCCAGCATTTTGGTATAGCAGGTAAAGCTGCTGCCTGCAAGGCTGGCATCCAATATGGGTGCTGGTTCAAGTCCCTGCTGCTGCACTTCTGATCCAGCTTCCCGCTAATGTGCCTGAGAAGGAAGCGGAAGATGGTCCAAGTACTTGGGTCCCTGCATCCATGTGGGTGACCTGGAAGAAGCTCCTGGATGTTGACTTTGGTCTGGCCCAGCCCTGGCTGTTGCAGTCATTTGGGGAGTGAGCCATAAATGAAAGAACTCTCTGTCTCTCTCTTTCTTTGCAACTCTGCCTTTCCAATAAATAAACTGAATCTTTTAAAAATAAAGAATGCAAGTGACATTCAATGAGAACCAATCAATGACTCATGCTAGAGAAAATCCTGCTGGGGTAACTCAGGAATATTTTGTGAAAGGACTTAGAAGTGACCAATCTCTCCAACTCAAGAAGAAGTCAAAGTAGGTGGACAATTTTGAATGTTAGCATGGTCATGACATTCATTATCCTTAATTGGTTGCTGAATAAATATCTCTTTTAAATGGATAACAGCCATGGAGAAGGAAAAAAAAATGACAGACAAAAGGCTTTCTCCTTCTCTCTCTCTCATTCTAAATTTATCAGATCCTTCATTGTTTTCCCACAATTCCCTTGGAAACCAGAGTCAGCCCATTCAGTCTCTAAGTTTTAGTCATCTTTGTGTAAATATAAAAGACAAATGTATTCTTTGCTGGAACTTTGGCATTCTCAGGCAGCAAATATTAAAGTATCCCATGTTGAATTAATAGCAGGATGTGACTAATTTATTAGGGTTCATGATCACCCAGTAAATACCTTGTTGGTAATGGCTATTTTTATAAATTCTCCTTGGAAGATTAGTGGTGTACCTTGAACACTAGTTTTAGCTATGCTTTTTTTACGTTGCCAAGTGGTTTACAAAAACCAGCATTTCATAAAGTATGATCAGTTAACTTGGTAATAAGCATTATCAAAAAAAATTCTGTAGCCAAATAAATTTGGGATATGCTGAGTTAAATATAATTTAGTAAGTCTCATTATTTTAGGACTTGTTTTATCTCCTATCATGTTTAAGGACTTAAATTTGAGAGACAGGATTGAAATCCAGTCTCCACTGCTTAGCATTTTATTATCTTGAGGAAGTCACTTTACCCCTCTGCACCTTAGTTTCTTCATGTTTGAAGCTGATAAAATAATGGTACCTATTTCATAGGGTTTTTATGTGGATTGAATGAGCACATGTAGGACAATTAGAATAGGACCTGACAGTAAATCTCATAGATGCTTACTAATCTGAGTAATATATTTTGTAAATCTCTGACTAACTTGGAGTTTGAGTCATTCTTTCATTCACTCATTCAGTGATTCACCAAATACAGTCTGCTTTATACCTTGTACTCTTGATAGACAATCTGTGATTAAATAGTATAAACCTGGCAATAATTCCTCTTCTCTGTGGCATGCTTGTACCATCACATAGTCAAGGGTGTTTGCTTTCAGGATCTGATCCCCCAGCTTTCTGATGATGATAGTCCAAACATAAGGAACAGCACTCAGTAGACTATAAAATGTTCTCTGTTTGTTTGTTATTCTGATGTCTTTTCAATATTTGGTGTCCATTAAATCTGTTTTCTTTACATTGTTTCAGGCAGGAAAAGTTCAATTTGGTTACGTATATGGTATGAGTGCCATTGGCTGCCTTGGGATTCACGCCTTATTGAACCTGATGAGCTCTTCAGGAGTGTCATATGGCTGTGTGGCGAGTGTGCTGGGTTACTGTCTGCTGCCCATGGTCATCCTTTCCAGCTGTGCCATCTTCTTTTCGTTGCAGTAAGTGCATGAGCTGATTGACCCCCTGTGCATAGTCATCACTAAGGCTTGCCACACCTGTGCAAAAGTTAAGCTTTTTCTGATCGTTTCAGCAGTGGAACTGGGGAAACCATTACTATTAAAAGCTGCGCAGATTCAGAAAAGTAGGTCAGTTCTGGCTCAGGTGCTCTTCCTATTTCAATGATTTAAAAAATAAATTAAGGCAAGTTATCTGTAAAACTGGCACTTCTTAAGTTGTCACATTCTTCAATGTGAACTATTATCATGGGTAATATAACAACCACAGAAAATTCACTTATTTAATTTTGGAAGAGTAAGTGCCTGCTGAATACTGACAAATTGCTTCAGCTCCCAGGCACTCTACCTTCTAGGCTAGAAGCCACTGTTCTTTCTCAGCTGGGCTCCTTGCAGCACAGAATTCCCAGGAATCCTGATGAGGATATGAATGCTCAAGAATTTTATAGCATATATCCTCAGTCAATACAGATTTAAAAAAATTTTTTTTTGCTTCACTTAGGCAGTTCCTATGTATAACTGGAAATCATTAAAGATACAGCAGATTTAAGTTTCCATTGGGCACTTTCCCAGGGCATGTGTGTCACTACCACATTGGTTAGGGACACTGAATAAATATATAGTCCTCTGTCAGCTGCCAGCTCTCTAAACCCACTTGGAAATAAACATTTACTTTCTGTGTAAATTCTTCTAAATATAGAGTCACCCTTAGCATTTTCTCCTCAGATGATCCAAGTCTTAGGTTTTTAAAGCTACATTGAATAGGATATCATATAGAGAATTTACCAATTCCAGTGATAAACATCGTGGAAAAGCCTTTATTGTTTTTGTCTAATATAATTATAAATAATTTTTTCATAGTATTATTAAGAATGGTTTAGTTGGGGCCAGCACTGTGGCTCACTTGGTTAATCCTCCACCTGCGGCACTGGCATCCCATATGGGCACCGGGTTCTGGTCCCGGTTGCTTCTCTTCCAGCCCAGCTCTCTGCTGTGGCCTGGAGGGCAGTGGAGGATGGCCCAAGTGCTTGGGTGCCTGCACCCGCATGGGAGACTGGGAGGAAGCACCTGGCTCCTGGCTTCAGATTGGCATAGCTCCAGCCGTGGCAGCCATTTCGGGAGTGGGCCAGTGGAGGGAAGACCTTTCTCTCTGTCTCTCTCTCTCAATGTCTAGCTCTATCTGTCAAATATTAAAAAATGGTCGGGGCACTGGATTCTGTCCCGGTTGCCCCTCTTCCAGGCCAGCTCTCTGCTGTGGCCAGGGAGTGCAGTGGAGGATGGCCCAAGTGCTTGGGCCCTGCACCCCATGGGAGACCAGGAGAAGTACCTGGCTCCTGCCATTGGATCAGCGCGGTGCGCCGGCCGCAGCGCGCCAGCCGCGGCGGCCATTGGAGGGTGAACCAACGGCAAAGGAAGACCTTTCTCTCTGTCTCTCTCTCTCACTGTCCACTCTGCCTGTCGGAAAAAAAAAAAATTAAGAATGATTTAGTTAGAAATAGTTTTTTGTTTTAATATGGCCTCATATTTTAAAGTAGAATTTTGGAGAGTAACTTAGAGTTACTCTAAGTTAAATTCTTTATTAGCAAGTACTCAACATTTTAAAATGAAAAACATGATAAGAAATGGATGCTCAGGATATATAAATATAATTTGAATTATATTTATAGTATATTTATAGTATTTTCCCATGGAAAAATTCTATATTCTTCATATTGTATGCTACAGCAAGCTGGTCCATTTTCTCTGTTGTTGAGCACAGAATCTGACATATTACCACAGAGTCTACTTTGTCAAATGCTTTCACAGAAGACTATTATCATGATCCATTGTTTAAAAATTCTAATTGTTAAACATTATTTTCAATAAAGTTGACATCTGTGGCATCTTAAGTGTCTTCATAATATTAGTGAAGAAAACAGCAACTAAAACTCTAGGATTTGAAGAATCAGCATAAATCTGAAATTTTTCACTGTCTTTTTTCATTCTGAAATTAGAAAGGATATTTAGAGATATTTTAAGTTATATTAAAAGAGAATAAGTTATCTGACCTCTATGATCATTAACTTGTTACTGTATCATTCAAATTAAATATAATTTAAAATATAATTTTATATTTTGTTGAAAATAAATAATTCTATATTATTCCTAATAGAAATTAATTAAACCAGTGAATATATTTTTAATATTTTGGGGTTATTACAATTTAAGACATTGTAAGACATTGTATGAATTTTTTTTTTGCTTTGGTTCAGTTGTTAACAGCAGATATTTGTGTCATTCTCACAAACAATAAACACAGTTCTCAACTTCAGAGTCAAGCCATGATGGAGTCAGACAGCACAGTTGGTGTTGGAAACAACCATGGTCCAGGGCTTGGGAGATCTTCACCTGATACCCACTTTGCTAGGCAGTTTGTTGTCACAGCACTGTGGTAAAGCTGGGTGCTAGATATCTCCTGAGACATCTTCTAGCTCTTATGTCTTGTTTTTCTGAATAATGCACTGCAATTTACACACATGAGAAGAAATGCATTCTTCATCACTCATATGCCCCTTTTTTTCCCCAAGGGGCCAGACTTAACTACCTCATTGACTTGGTTCTCAAAGAGCTGATTGCTTCCATATATTACTTACTGAAGCTACAACAGATCTGAACAAATCTGTTGTAACATTGTAATAAAAACAGAACAAAGAAAACAAAAAAAACACAAAACACATATACCATAAAACACATAAAATGGCTCTGAAGGGATGAGACGAGAAGAAACACACAAATGTGCTTTCCAAGCTACTGGAGCAGTTTTAGGCTTTCCCATCTCAGATAAAGTCTTGGGACGTGGACTTGGGAACAGAGATTAGCCACTGTGATAGGTTTCTCTGTCTTTTCTTATTTTGTGGGTCCATTCATAAAGAAGGTCGGGGAAAGGAAATTGTTCACTATAAGAGAAGGCCCTACTTAGGGTACAGATAGGAATGTCAGAAGTCGGGATATGAACATTGACAGAGGACAGTGAATGCACATGATTATTTCTGTTTTTACTAATCCTAGTTTTACTGGAGTCTACAATATTTCTCTTCTATGGTGTTTTGACACAAAAAATTTCTAACTGGATGTGGCCTTTTGAATTCATATGATTCATTTTACAAATGGACAAAATGGTTATAAATATTGTACCAAGCACATTTCAGAGGCAGTTCTGAATCAATGATTTCCTTTCTTTTCACCTATATAAGGCAACCACTTTTTTTGTGTTTGCTATAGGGGCACCTTTGGAACCGTGTCAGCATTGGTCATCATTGGCTGGTGTAGTCTTTCAGCCTCTAAGATCTTCATTTCGGCCTTAGATATGGAAGGACAGCAGCTTCTCATTGCCTACCCTTGTGCCTTACTTTATGGACTTTTTGCTCTCCTAACAGTTTTCTGAAGAGTGTTGAAAAGGTGTTGAAATTTTCTATTTGTTTAATGTTCAGATTATCCTGGAAATGAATCAGCATTCAAATTTGGTGATAGAGTTTCTGTATCTGCTATTGCGAGAACAAGCAGAGAGACAAAATAGCACTTAAGGGTGGTGCTCTAATGGCCTGTTCAGTGTGAAGGATGTTTTGTTTTTCATTTTAGTGCAGTAAAACTTTTTAAAATAATTACAAATAAAAAGTATGTAGTTGCTGTACTAATGGACACTACTTTCTGAGAAATTAGAAATAAAGAAAACCATATGCTTGTTGTTTAAATCTATACTAAGCCTTTTGAAAAATATTCATGATGGCTCAAGGTGTATGTACATGGGTTAAAAAGGTATATTTATGGGGTTTTATTTACCAAAAGAATCAAAGAACCTCCTGTATTTTGATTAACTTACTTTAGTGACTGCTCTTTGGTTCCATTTGGATAATGCACTGACTCACCACTTCCCCACTTACTTGGTCTAGATGCCATCATCCATTACTATAATTTCTCCCTTGCATATATCTTCCACAGCCTTAGCATTTTCTCCACAAGTAAATGCATCTTACTAGAGAGAACCCACTGTTTGCCTTGAATTGTATTACTGTATTTTTGTTCTTAATATTTGTTGATTGATTTACTTGAGGGAGGGGGACAGAGAACTCTCCCCATCTACTGGTTCACCCCTCAAATGCCTTCAACAGTTGGGAGCCAAGGATACAATTCAGGTATCCCATATGGGTGGTAGGAACTCAATCACCACTGCCACCCACAGTCTGCGTTGGCAGGAAGCTGGAGTCACAAGCTAGAGTCACAAGCTGGAGCTGGGAACCAAACTCAGGCATTTGCACGTGTGACATGGGTGTCTTTCAATGGGTAGGTTAAATGCCTCCCCCTTCATGTTACTATATCTTAAATAGCTTCTAATTACTATACTTAAATCCTAATTGTAAATTCTTTTTTAAAAAGACATTTATTTCAAAGGTACAGTTACACACACACACACACACACAGAGAGAGAGAGAGAGAGAGAGAGAGAGAGGTGTCTTCCATCCACTGGTCCACTCCCCAAATGGCCACAATGGCCAAGGCTGGTCCAGGCCAAAGCCTGGAGCCAGGAGCTTCCTCCAGGTATCCCATGTCATTACAAAGTCCGAAGGACTTGAGCTATTTTCTGCTGATTTTCCAGGCACACTAGCAGGGAGCTGGATCAGAAATGGATCACCAAAGACTTGAACTACAGCCCATATAGGATCTAGCATTGCAAGCGGTGGCTTAACCTACACTCAACACCAGCCCCTAATTGTATATTCTTACTAAATTATCTTTCATATTGTCTTATATGGCTACATTACACTAGTTCTTCACTGCTCAAATCCTCAACATTCTTTTCTTCTTCATTTCCCAGTGTTAACGGATTCTTATTTTATTGAAAACCATTGTGGTGTAGCAGCTAAAGCTGCCTCCTGTAGTGCCAGCATCCCATAATGGCACTGCTTCAAGTCCTGGCTGCTCCACTTCTGATCCAGCACTCTGCTATGGCCTGGGAAAGCAGTAGAAAATGGCCCAAGTCCTTGAGCCCCTGCACCCACGTGGGAGACCTGGAAGAGTCTCCTGGAACCTGGCTTCAGCGCAGCTCCTACCATTGCAGCCATCTGGGGAGTGAACCATCCAATGGAAGATCTCTCTCTCTCTGCCTCTCTTTCTCTGTGTAATTCTGACTATCAAATAAATAAATAAATCTTAAAAAAAAAGAAAACCAGAAACATCTAGAAGAAAAGTACTTCATTTCATTTCCCCACCATCTACCAACCTACCTGCATCTTTACCTACATACATACTCTGTCTTATCTCTTGTCACTCCTTTCCCTTCTCAATAGTCACCTCCCCACTGACATAATGGATATTTTCTCTAGTCCTATTATCCATGTAAGCACATAAATATATTACCATATCTCCTATCTTAAAAATATTTCAATTTAACATCATTCTCCAGCTATGGCTCATTTCTATGTTCCTCTTATAGCGAAAAAAATGCTTGAAAAAGTTGTTTGTTGCCTCTGCTTCCATGTTGTCACTTTCTAGTCTCTCTTTCTTACAGTCCATCAATATTTCATCACACTGTTGATCAAAGCCACCTTGGTCAAAGCAGCAACAACACATCTTGCTACATCCACAGTTTAATTCTCAGTTTCATTTTACTTGAACTCTAAGAGGTATTTATTTGATTACCCTCTTCATTAGCCTCCGCTAGCCAGGAGGTAAGTGAGGTACTTACTTCTTCATTTGATTTCTAGAGTGTCACAAGCTCTCAGATGTTTCTGTTACCTCACTGATAGCTCTTTCTCAGTCTGTTTGGCTGGACTTCTTTCCTTTTTTCAATATCCAATCTCTTCTGCAATACTTATCACTAAATGAGGTCACTTGATTACATGGCTTTAAAAATCTATAACTTTGGCCGGTGCTGCAGCTCACTAGGCTAATCCTCCACCTGTGACGCCAGCACCCCAGGTTCTAGTCCCGGTTGGGGCATCGGATTCTGTCCCGGTTGCTCCTCTTCCAGTCCAGCTCTCTACTGTGGCCCGGGAAGGCAGTGGAGGATGGCCCAGGTCCTTGGGCCCTGCACCTGCATGGGAGACCTGGCTCCTGGCTTCAGATCGGCGCAGCACCAGCTGTAGCAGCCACTTGGGGGGTGAACCAACGGAAGGAAGACCTGTCTTTCTGTCTCTCTCTCTCTCACTGTCTAACTCTGCCTGTCAAAAAAAAATCTATAACTCCATATTTTCATCTTCATGTAACACTTTCCCATGAGCTTCTAACATATACATCTCATTTATACTTAATATCTCTATTTATTTCATGATTGTTGCTAAAATAGCTTTCTGAAACTAAACCCTTGCCTTCCACACTGTCCCACTTGCTCCTCTGTGCCTCTTCCAAATTTCCTCATCTTTTTAACGAAAAACACAAGTCACCCAGTAACTCCATCTACAAGCTGGTAGCAAGTCTTTGTTATTCTTACTTTGACAGTCCACATCTAGTCAATCAATTATTTTGGCTCTACCATCAAAATATTCCCAAATGTGACCATGTCTCATGAACCCCTTCTTTGCCAATGCTACTCCAAGCCACTCTCCTCTGTTGCCTGACTGAAGCAGTTACATAACTGGTTTCTTGCCTCCATATCTTCTTCCCAACAGCCTTTTCTATATGCAGCAGCTTGTGTGATTTTTTAAAAATGTAAATCATTTACATCATCCCAGAGGCTGTCAAAGATTACATATGAAAGATAGGCAAATGTATACATGTGAAAACTTGGAAACAATTTAAAAATCATAATAATTAGGAATGAGGTAAATAAATAGTTCATTTGGATGATTGAGTGCTAGACAACTATAACATATTTTGGAAGAATCATGACATAAGACAAAACATGTTTAAGTTTTTGCCATTTTGATATTTACTGAGGACTTCCTATGGTTTGGGCTAGGATTTTTGTGTATATTAACTCACTGAATCCTCACAAAAATTTCAAGAAAAGTACTTAGCATCATCTCCATTTCCCAGCTACTGAGTTATAGAGAAGCTCAACCACTTTCCCAGGATTATTCAGTCAATAACTAGGATTTGGATAAGGGAAGCTCGATTCCAGATCTAATAATCAGTACCTAATGCTGTTTGGTACTAAATAACAGCATGACTACTGTTTATTCTGCTTAGAGTATATAGGGTTGATGGGCTTCACCTGCTTAAAAAACAGTAAAATTATAGAATTCAGAATGCTAACAGGTTAAAGTGGTACCTATACATCTTCTGAGTCCATTTCTGAACTCTAGTTGAAATAAATTATGCAGTTTCAGATCTAGTTACCACTTGGATAGAAAAAATTCACAAAATATAGTTATTTCTCCCCATTCCAAGAAGTTTCAGTATTACAATAATTTGTATAAAATGGAGGGCTTTTTTCAAAATTTTAAGCAAATTGTGTAATGTGTGGTCAGTAGATTATGTTACAGTGTAAATGATAAAGTGGATGGGAACACAATGGTGTACACATACAGTGTAGAAACATCTTTTTGCTTTAATAGACCCCAGAAAACTTTTTCCTTTTCCCTTTTCCTCAAAATGCTTTCAAAATTGTTTTTATGGGAATAAAGCATTTTGTTTTTCACTTTTCTGTCTTTTTCTGGGTGGATGAAAGTTACAGATTATGTGCTAAGGGTAAATGGCACATTTGGAGTCAAGAGATGGCCTTCATTTCTACAGGAATGATTGGGGACATGTGCTGAAAATAAAAGTCCTGAATTGCTCAGACTCAAGTGCCCCAGTTCACAACAATTTAACTAGGGCAGTGGCCTTTGCAACATTGATGACAGATGCTTTCCTACTCATTCTGGCTCCAGATGAGTAGCGCCAACAGTAAAACCACATTGACAATCTCCTGCTCCTTTTTTTTTTTTTAAGACTATGGTAGTTCTATGCTATTTCTGTGATACAATCAAGGGTCTACAGTTTTCAAATCAGTTTTAATTTCTAAGTTGAAATCTGGAATTATTATTATTAATTTTTTTCAAAAAGAAAACCAACCAGGTTGAGTCACAAGCAACTCATGAAGGTGCTGACCAAAATATATATTTTCAGATAAAATAACAAAAATAATAGTTTTCATAAAGGTAAGATTTGTGGGCTTCTATACTGTTGATGTGTCATGCAGAGTCTTGAAAATATCTTGAACCCAGACTTTGACACAGAAAGAGGAGAAAAAATCAGTCCATCCTAGGTTCTGATACTGCTTTGCATGTAAACAGCTGGGTGACATTGAGATCCTTTTACATAGCTTTTTGAATCTCATTTTCTTCACATAGAAAATGAACTGAATGATTCAGAGTTTGCAAGGACCTTAACAGGACTAAAGAACATGCTGCATATAAATTACTCAGCCCAGTGCCCTGGCATATAGTAATTACTCAGTAAATGGGAACTTAGCACAGCTGTAATAGATCCTCTGGAATGGGATTTTAGGGAAGGCTATTTACTTTTCCATAATGTCATGAATAAATTATGGGTAAAAGATGATGACTTTAATTGAAATACACACTTAATGGAAAACAATTATTTTGGTATAGTAGTACAATTGGTGAAGAAGATCATGTCAAGGCCAGCCAAACTCTTAGAGTTTTGCTAGAAATATTAACCCAATTTATGAATTTAAAAGAAGGGCCTCTTTTGAAGTTTCATTATTTAGTCACCAAGCATCTGAACATCTTTCTTATGTTGAAGTTATTTACCATATCCTAAAGTAGACAGTGATACCCTCTCTCTGATCCTTGGCAGCTAGTGACCCATGAACTAGGAATAGCCAGTAAGATTATGTTGTTCAGGCCTTGAAATTCTTGTTAAATGGATCCAAAAGCAGTGGGGCAGTTAGAAATAATTGTGAAAGCAAAAACCATATTCTAGCAGTGATAGAAGCTGAGCAGATGTACAGGGCTTCGTACCAGTGTATGCAGCACTCACATACAGAAAATTTAGTACCTATACTTTCATTGTAGAGGTTTTATTGAACAGAACAGCACAACAAAATAGTACTTGAGGAGAAGGCATTTGGTCTAGTGGTTAATATATTGATCTGAGTTTCCTATCTGTAATAATGGAGTCCTGGGAATCAAACCCCAGCTCTGCTACTGATTCCAGTTTCCTCTAATGAACACCATGGGAGGCCGAAGCAGATGGCTCAAACCATTAGTTTCTGCCACCTACATGGAAGACTGGGATTGAGTTTACTGCTTCTGGCGTTAGGCTGGCCCAGTCCTGGCTATCGTAGGCATTTGAGGAGTAAACTACTGAGTGGGAGCTCTGCCTGTCTTTCAAAGAAGTAAACAAAAATTAAGAAAAACAATACTTGAAACAGTATAATAGCTAAAGAACTTGGGTTTTATTTGTCCCAGCAGCAAAACTCCTGAGACTAACTGAAGGCTGTATTTGATGGTGTACAATGTTGTATAAAGAGATGACTCCTACTACATGAAAAACAGCATTCAAAAAACAGAATGTTGAATATTTCCGAGAGGTAGAATCTAGGGCAAGCGTGAAAAGAGTGGCAAAGAATGCCAGTCAATGGCAGAGCTATCTGAAGGTCCTCCCACTGATGGAGCCAAAAGGGCACCCAACACCTCAGCCGCAGCCTGCAAGGAGATCATCATCTGTAGGTGATTCAATCTGCCTTGACTTTTGAAATAGCAAATGAGGAATTCATTCTTACTTAATAAAACATGTGAGCCTTGTCGATTAACAGCCATTCTGAACTTCTATTGGAGGAGTCATTTATTGAACAGACAGGGGTGAGAGAAGCCAGTACAACAATTATAAACAAGGATATCCTCTTATCAAATGTTTATTAGGGAAACTTTCATAGAATGCTTTCACAACTCTAGGATATGTTTAGAATGTGTTTGTAGATACCTGAGAATGCCACTGAGTGTTTCTATATTTGATATTATTCATTTGCCTAGGATGTTTGCTGGAATGAGTCCAAACAGCATATAGAATAAGCGAGAGTATTTCTATTGCTGGCATTATTTTTGTAAACACAGGAAACAAATGCATTTATTTTATATCTATTTGGATATGACCCTGGGCTTGTTTGTCTGCAACAAATCATAGAGCCTGGTGTAACGTATTGCATCCCCTTAGCCTATACCCCATCGTTCTGCCCTGGATCCTGACTGCTATTACAAAACATTGCTTAATTAAAATAATAAATCAGAAATTAAACAACTCCTCCCTGATGAATGATATGCATTAATGCTAACTTGATCTTATTAGAAACCCACTTCCAGAAAGATTTCCCAAGTTAATTCCCTCCAGCACCAACTCTTTTCAATAAACCTCTCATCATTTAAGGACTTGGATAAAATAGACCCTTTAAATAGCCATTAGAATTTGCTTGAACATCATATTTTCATGGATTATTATTTTTAAATAATGAGAAATTCTACTTTACTAATCTTTGATTTCAATCATAGCTTCAACTAATCGGGAAAATTCCTCTTAACTTGAGCAGAATGAACTCATCCAGACTATTTTAGCATTGGCATCAGAGCCATCCTGGGTCACACACACAGCTTCAGAACAGCAGCCCTTTGGTTGTAAAACACTGCTCCCATGTGGCCCATAGCTGCCAAAGCCAGACCTCCACCTTTATCTCTCAATGTGAATATATTCCTCTTGACCAGTGTGGTTGTGTGTTGTTGCTATTGTTGTTTTCAGATTCATCCACTCTTATTTTCTTTCATGAGTAGAGGGAGAAATATAATATATATTATAATATAATGTATATTATATAATAGATATGAAGGAGGGTTTAAAGAGTGGGTATATGGAGGGGATCCATTGTTTTAGTGCTTTATATAGAATATCTCATTTCACCATAAAAAAAAAGCAGTCCGGGGTAGACTTTGGTTTGTCAGTTAAGATGCCATTGGGAACACCCACATCCCTTATCAGAGTGCTTGAGTTTGAGTGCTGATCCCTGTTTCTGATGCCAGCTTCCTGTTAATGTGCACCCAGTCAGCAGGTGATTGTATATTGGCACTCACATGGCAGACCTTTCTGCCCAGCCTTATCTGTTGCAAGCATTTGGGGAGTGAAACAGAGGGTAGGAGATTCTCTCTCTCTCTCTCTCTCTCTCTCTCTCTCTCTCTCTGACTTTCAAAGAATAAACATTTTTTTAAAAATGAGGCATTGAGCTAATGAGGAATTTAAACTAAGGCCATAATGCCTTTTTTGGGATGCTCTCCTAGCACCCTGTCTATCCTGTTCAAGGTATTACTACATGGCATTGAAATCCCTACTTATTTGGCAACAACTTCAGTGGAATTTAAGAGTCAAAGTACTGACAGTATCAGTTTGCTAGGGCTGCCACAACAAAGTACCACAGAATGGGGGAATTAAATAATAGCAATGCATTGCCTCACAGTTCTGGAGGATGAAATTCTAAGATCAGGGTGGGTGTGAGTGGGTTTGGTTTCTTCTGCAGTCTTTCTCCTTAGCTTGCAGATGGCCACCTTCTCACTGAATCTTCACATGGTCTTTCCTCAGTCTGTGTGTCTGTATCCCAATCTCCTCTTCTTTTAAGAATATCAGTCAGATTGGATTAGAATCTACCCATTTGATGTCATATTACATTATTTACATCTTTGAAGACCCTGTGCCCAAATGCAGTCAGTCATATTCTGAGTTAATTATACATTCTGAGTCAGAGGACACACAATCCAGATCATAATGCTGTCCTTGTGTAATCATTTTTATATCCTCATCATCAGGCATGGAAAATGATATGTAGTAGATAGCCAGTGAAAGAAGACTGATGTCAGGGCGGGCACCGTGGCTCACTTGGTTAATCCTCCGCCTGCGGCACCAGCATCCCATATGGGCGTCGGTTCTAGTTCCGGTTGCTCCTCTCCCAGTCCAGCTCTCTGCTGTGGCCCGGGAAGGCAGTGGAGGATGGCCCAAGTGCTTGGGCCCTGCACCCCATGGGAGACCAGGAAGAAGCAGCTGGCTCCTGGCTTCGGATCAGCATGGTGCCGGCCGTAGCGGCCATTTGGGGAGTGAACCAACGGAAGAAAGACCTTTCTCTCTCTCTCCTCTCTCTCTGTCTCTCTGTCTCTGTCTCTGTCTCTCTCTCTCTCTGTAACTCTACCTGTCAAATAATAATAAAAAACTTACATAAAAGAAGTCTGATATCAAGTTTATATGCTTGTTCCTATGTATCACTTGCTTATCCAAGTAATTTTCTAATCTCTTTCTCATTCTGCTACAAACAATTTTTTCCCATATGTTAAATGAAGCAATGTCTACCCCACTCCCACTGACCTTTCATGAAATATGACCACCACCATCAATTCCCTTTCCATACCAAGTATCATTCTTCCTGTACCTAAGCTGCCATAACTGCTTTGACCAACAAGCAGGTGAAAATGACACTGAGGAGACACTGAAAGATGGCTGAATAGGGAGTGAGCTTACTGCTCTAGTGCAGGGGAAGATAGTTAAAAAGAAGTGGAGAGAGTGGTATCTCAGGGAAGAGTTAGGGAGAAAACTACAGGGGAAACTCCTCGCAAATTAGTGGGACTGTAGATCTCCTGTGGAGAGCGTGGGACAGTAAACGGT